AGTATCCAGTTATATCCATATGTAAAAGTTGATTCATACACAGGGGTCCGCTTTATGATGCCACACGATTTATATTCAATTGTTGAATATTGCATGCATAAGTGCTGTCCGAATTAAGAGACAGAATGAAGTCGATACTTCGCGAAGCTGTGCTCACATAAGCTAGGTTTTAGTGCAAGGTGAAAGTAATGAAATAGTATACACACACGAACAATGCTAGCAAACCCTACCTCCAAATATGATAGTATAATCAAGAAACCAATTGCCAACTATGTAAAAGCGTATTTGTGTACTACATATTGTTCGATAATCCATGGTACCCTGTGACAAAACATTTCATTCAACCATACCACGCGTCATGTCTAGCCAGAAAGCGCCTCCAGGATGTTTCTTCGCAAAGTCCGTAAGATCATACAGCTTATCATGTACACGCCATAGATTTAAATCCCCTATATCATCGTCTACTACCTTCCCACTCAACCATGTTTCCCCACACTTGAGCGCATTGTCTCTGTTGGTTGGATGTACGAGGAAATCAGGCATTGCAACGTTCTTGCTGAGTTTGGTACGTTTCTTCAACGTGTCCAGATAACTCGCGGTCGTAGTGTGTGACGCCATGACAGCATCAACTACCATTGTGTAGGTTGTATTGGAATGTCGATTATACGAGTCTACTTATGATTAGTATGCAATATTATACAAGATGTATCTATATGGGCGATATTATATAATATAACAACAACGTCCAAATGTGTTGTGAATGGTTTTAACTGAGATCCCAGTTGCTTTACAGTGCACGATGCTCGTCCATGACCCACTGGAGGTAAATAGTCGCTGGGGATACATTGGTTTCCACTTTCCGCATATTCTTCCAGCGATATTCTTCAGAGGGCTATGGTCCTATGCAAGTATCTGTATACCTATAAGCATATACACATACATATCAAAATTCATACACACTATAAAACATATACAAGTATTTGGAATAATTTTGCATAATATTAAAAGGTACAAATCCATGACATCACAATGATCGTTCATAACTCGTCGTAAACTATTTACGACGTACAAAAACGACAGCCCATCCGTTTTTACAATTTACGCGCCAAACAAAAAAAGTGCGGAAATTCCAACCGATGCAACTTCAACCGAAATAAATAGACGTTAAGCGTTTAAACGAATAGTTGACAAATGCAGAGTACAAATGGGCCACCGCTTGGGGAACGTTAGATCACGATTATATATAAACGTATCAGAAATACAGTTTCCAACCCGCGCAAAACACACTCTTGGAAATAAAAACATTTTTCGGATCAATAAAGCGACATCAGTGACCGCGACCGCGACCGCGACCGTTCTTCATTTACAATTTATCAGAAATCCCATATATACAATTCCAACCATATAAATATTTATATTGAAGGATTAGCCACGAACTACTAGAGAGCTGATTATGACACTTTAACTATACGTACACACGTATAGATATATAT